ATTGACTTTAAACTTAGTCCTTTGACCATAAAGTGAACAGTCATTCTTAGTTTAAAATTTAATATTCACAATTGAAAAATTTATTGATAATATAGAATTAACTATGATCTTTACAATTTTTAATCTTTTTAATTTGATTTTTTACAATGGTAAATCATCATACTTACACATTCTAACATTCAATCTAAAAACTAAATACATTTTCTACATTTTTTATCGATAGAATGGTTAAATACCCTCTGGTAAAAAATGTCCACCGGCATCAAATTGGTGTTATAAACAATGATAGAGATTTCGAGCCGAAAATATTTTTCAATTTCTCGTTTACCCATTATGTGCACTGTTCGGAAAAAAAAATTCAGGTAAGCTTTTTAATTCAATTTATTTATTATGTATTTTTTTAGATGTAGACTTACCTAAATTACACATATACAATACACATTTAAATATACATACAAAACACATATTATAGGTCCTACATACAGTACAGAATAGTACAGAAATATACCCATATTTACAGCTCCTATACACAGTACAGCATAGTACAGAAAAATGCACGTATTCATAGCTCCTATATACAGTACAGCATAGTACTTGATTATAACTGACATCATTGACAGATACTGGCTTTTAAAATATATTATCTAACTAGATTTAAAAATGATACGTGGAAGAAAGCCCAAGGATATTTGCTTTGCTCTTGATACAATTCTAGGAATAATATATAAATGAAGTAACTTAATTCTCATAATTAAAATTCGGTGATGGTTGTGGACCAAACCTCTGTAGAGAAAAAAAGTAGATGTTAGTTTCACATTTTATTGAATTCTCATGATTGTTATTTTTTGGTTGTAAAATTCTCTAATATAACATATTATCATTTATGATATTTTGAAAGGAGTCTGCAATTCTGAAGAATCTGCCAATTCTGAGTCCATATCTCAACACGATAATGATTTGAAAGAAGACTGCAGTTATGAGTCCATATCTCAACACAATGATGATTTGAAAAGAGCCTGCAGTTCTGAGTCCATATCTCAACATGAAGATGATTTGTGCTCAGCAATGGCTAACATGGCTTTTAGTACAGATTAACAATTTTCATTGGATACATTTGTAGATGATAATATGAAAACTAAGTCGCAGCAGATCTTTTGTTTCTATGAGATTATTAAGATTATCAAGAGAATTCCTAGTGAAATGCCAAGTTATGATAGAGTTTTGATTATTCAAACCCTCAAGGAAGAACTTAAAATTGACGAGAAAAGTCTTAATCAACTTCCCGTGGCACATGATAGTGATTGATTATGAGAAAGTAAACTCTCTTATACAAGATCTTGGGAACAAACATAAAATGTCTTATGAAAACATAATTTTCCCCCCAGTCAAACATTGTATTCAATGTGCATCTAAAAAAGAATTAACTAAAACCCACAAGCCGACTTCTGTAATTGTTTGTACAAACAGTGGTCTGGAACCTAAACTGGACATAAACTGATAAATAACAATATTTCTATTTAGAACGGATAAAGAAGCAGTCATTAAATCTACAGGGTATCCTAAGAACTGTACTGAGAGTCCAGTTTATGGAAGTGCTTTTTGTGCTGACTGTTCGGAGCAAATTAAGAAATTAGGTAAAACAATACTTCATAAATGTGTCCAGATTAAAAAATTAAAAAAATATCTGGCCAAATTGCTGGACCAAATTGGTTGAAACTTCTTGAGAAAATTGTCATGCATGCTATTCTTATGTCCTTCTGTCTTTAATACGTGCAATTTTTAATTAAGGATATCCAACCGGACTTACGGATTTCCTAAAGTTTTGTGGATGTAACACGGATAGCTATACCAAGAAGGACAGGTCTAAGAAGACCCAGGTTTTAATGAAGATCGCAAACAAGCTAAGAATTAAATCCCTGAGTGTTGCTGCTCAAACCGGGACTGAACGAATCTTAAGAAGTGATGCTATGAAGGCAACGGATACATTTAATAGGGTTGTAGACGAGCAGTCTCATTGTAACAAGGACACGGAGGGGCTTACAACCATGAATACCTATTCAAGGGGATATTTGTTTTTTGTACACCCTGGTGGTATTATTCGCTATTGGGCACCATTGTACAGGTCTGAAGATCCCACTCAAGTTTCTTTGCCCACTATCAAATTTTGTTCACTTATTATACAAGTTTGTACAGTTGCCATGGATCTCAACCATTTTTTTGGTTCTATGACAACATGTGTAATTTAGAACGGTTAAAACTGTGGGAATGTAACCCCAAAGATTTTACAAAAGAGGCAAGGCTGGGATTTTCAGTTTTTAATAGAATAAATAAAGGAGTTTATGCCCTTCATAAAAAAATCATGTAC